CCACTATTGAACAGCTTCATATGAATCAAAGTTTAGACATTATGAGGCATTTCAGACCGAAACCAGTCTCATTACGTTAATTAAAGCCCAATCAGTGTGTCAGCTCAAGCAATATCATGTAAATCAATACTCGATTCAGCTAATTTTCCTGGTTCTGCGCCAATATTCAACACCACTATCGGTATCGGTGCATCCCTAATCGATTTACAAGTCTTGATAAGGACATTGATGAGGGAAATTGCAGTTATGAGCCACAACGACTACATAATTGTACTGCAGTTTGTGGTTTTGCCATAGATTTTAAAGGTAGTGTTACTTTATTTATAAGATAATTTCAAGAGTAGCACCACAGATTGTATAAAGAATCAGCGTCGCCCATAGCGTTTGGAACCAGTCAAATGAAGCTAATTGAGGCCGGTCATTATAGGGGTGAATTTGTAGTCGAGTTCCATATTAATGGACAAAGTAGTGAAATAAAAACACCAGAATCAATTAAAATGAGTTTTTATGAACATTTTAAGACCAAAATGATGAGGCTCACTGCAGCAGTTACAAAGACTGGGGTGAAAACTGTTCAATATAAAGTCAATTGGAGCCAGAATCGAAGGAGCTGGAAGCGTACCCATGCTCACTTCCTATTTGGAACAAGGCGGCTACTGGATTAAATAAGGTCAGTTATAGTAATTTTGACTGATACTTTTTCTGCGACTCATAAAAGGTTTCACGATGAAGCTTTTCTGGTGTTTTCTGGGAGTTCAGCCGCATCCTTGCCTCCACGGAGACGTCCTTGCTTCGGAATATTCCACAGTAATGCATTCAGGGTTCCCACTTTTTTCACTGACAGAATTTCAAAACTTTCCCATGACTTTTTCATGAACTAAACAGAATTTTCCATGAATTTACAGCACCCTGCATGTGTAGAATTGATCAAACTTTTAGGGCTAAATATGAAATGTTAACCTTTTCCACTCACCTTATGGTTTGGTGATATAGTTTTTTGAATTTATTTTAATTTATTTAACAACAGAAGACAGATACAGTGGGGCAGACAGCAGGCTACAGAAACTCAAATAAACATCAAAACAACAAAATCAACACAACATTTTTAACATTCAAAATACTGTCAGCGCATTTATTGTCGTCTTTTTTAAACAAAAGGTGCAAAAGTTCGGAAATAATCATAACAGCTTAATGTTATCTTAAAAGAATGCTGTAGTTGCATGAAAGAGATGCTAAAATTGCATGACTTTTCCAAAACTTTCAATTGAATTAACAAAATGCCATGACTTTTCTAGGCCTGGAAAATGTTCAATTTCGATAACTTTTCCAGGATTTCCATGACCTTGGGGAACCCTGTGCATTAATGATATTCCAAACTGCTACAAGCAAGGGGCAAGATATAGATTTTTAGTTATAAAAATAGTACAACCAATCATTTTTTCCAATGGACTAAAAATTTGAAAAAAACGCAAATGTAAAAATGGTGCAACACTGATCTGATTTTTGGCAATTTTGGACACTCGTAGCTAAATAAAAATGTAAACTAAGAGTGCAGATACTTCAAAAATATATCTGAAAGTACAATTTGTTTAAAAAATGAAATAGGCTAATTACTACCCACCTCTGAGCAACACACCCACACACTGATCAAGGACAGAGCAGCTCTAACCTGTGACACTAGCCCCATAGACGCCACCGTAATGTGCGTGTGTGTGTGTGTGTTGAATGGTAAAGTACGTGCATCTCCAGGGACGACGCCGGAGAAGCACAGAGCAGCAGTGAAACATGTGTGACAGTCAGTCGTGTGTTTAATAATCCATACACGAGAACGGCCCTGGTCTGCGGGGAGTGCGAGTTTGACTGCAGAAACATTGATAGACGTGTTTACAGTGAGCCGTTAGCCAATTATGCTGCGTTAGTTATTTATGAAGGAGCTGAGACGGGGAATTTTTGATCATTTAAAAAGGGCTGAACGTTTGTGAGTAAGTGAGCCGAGGAGAGGCCGGTATTGAGAAAATGTGTCCGTATTTATATTTAATTTGGCGCGAATGAGTTGATTTCATTCACAGAGTAAATGCTGATGCTGTATCGATTTAATATTATGCTGAATTTTATGCCTGCTATAGATTTAAACATATTTTTTTTATTTGATTTGAAATCTAAAAAGCATTTTGTACCAATACTGACATTTTTCCTCAAATTTTAACACATAATTTGGCAACATTACGATTACTAGTCTAATGAAATGTTTTTAAACTTTGTAATTTGCTCACCTAAAACTATCCGAATGTAAACAAAATTGACAAAGTATTGATACTTTGCAGTGACATCAAGCTTGGGGGTGTCCTACATGTATCTCTAATGGAGAAATGTTAAGGTGTTACCATGGTGACACAATGTGCACGGTCAAAAAATGTTTTAAGATTGTGTGTGGAAGATAATTTGTTCTTTTAGATTATGAATTTTGAATACAGCTGAATTTCTCACTTTGAATTTTAGTTTTTTTTAAAACTCTGACCAAAAAAAAAAGGATAATTTGTTTCATCAGATTTTGAATTTTAAATACAATTGAATTTATTATTTTAAATACTGTTGAATTTCTCATTTAACTCTGAAAAAACGTGTGAATTGTTTTTATTCTGAATTTGAGTTGCTGACATTTTAAGTGTACTTTCCAATTTGTTTCAAATTGAAAATAAAAAAAATTCGCCTTTTAAATATTCTGCACATATATTTTCAAGCCCTCAAATTCAACAGTCAAAATTCAAAGTGAACACTTTGAAAATGTGAACTTAAAATTTCAGCAACTAAAATTCAGAAAAAATAAATAAAAATATACATGTTTTTCCAGAGTTAAATGAGAAATTCAATGGTATTTAAAATTCTAAATCTGATAAAACAAATTATCTTCCATAACTGCCTGAAAACTCAAGACTTTTGTATTTCGAAATCTACTTTGTTTTTGTTTTGTTTTTTTCCCCAAAATGGATTTAAAAGTAAATTTTCATGAGTCTGTGATGCATTCATGGTACTGTTCAGGAGTTGGATTTTCAACAAGAAAGTGGGAGTGAGTGAAAAACTGTTGACTAATGCTTGCTTCCTCGTGACTAATGTTACTTGAGACTTGTTTATCAGCACAGATCAGCTCTTCTGTTGTAAAGCCTGAAATATCAGCTCTTTATGGTCAGACTGTGGTCAAGTCTTTTAACAGAGCGTCAGACAGAGCAGAGCCTACAGTTAGCGTCACACCCACAGATAATATTGACAACATCATCTGCAAAGTATCAATACAATTTTAGTTGTACTTTTGGTTTTCACTTACTGTAAAAACTTAGTCACCAAGTACACGCCTCACTTTCTATAATAAGTAAAATATTGAGCTGTAACAAGCTGTAAAAGTTTTATTTTAAGTCAAATTATCATATTTGTTTTTGTATTTGTGAGTCATAATGGTCAGTGTTGGGGAGTAACAGATTACATGTACCGGAGTTACGTAATCAGAGTACAAATTATGAGGAACTGTATTCAGTTACAGTTACTGTTTCAGTGAGTGGTGATTGGATTACAGTTACTTTGTCGAAATAAATGGATTACATGGCGGTATTTTTCCTGTTTTCACATTTCGGGCTATATCCCCAGGTCTAAACTAGATCTAAACCAGTTCTAATCCAGGACTAAACCAGTTCTAAACCAGGACTAAACCAGAACTAAACCAGAACTAAACCAGGTCTAAACCAGGACTAAAATCAGGTTTAAACTAGATCTAAACCAGTTCTAAACCAGGACTAAACCAGTTCTAAACCAGGACTAAACCAGTTCTAAACCAGGACTAAACCAGTTCTAAACCAGGACTAAACCAGGACTAAACCAGGACTAAAATCAGGTTTAAACTAGATCTAAACCAGATCTAAACCAGGACTAAACCAGGACTAAAATCAGGTTTAAACTAGATCTAAACTAGATATAAACCAGATCTAAACCAGGACTAAACCAGGTCTAAACCAGGACTAAACCAGGACTAAACCAGGACTAAACCAGGACTAAAACCAGGACTAAAACCAGGACTAAACCAGGACTAAAACCAGGACTAAAACCAGGACTAAACCAGGACTAAATTCAGGTTTAAACTAGATCTCAACCAGGTCTAAACCAGGACTAAACTAGGTCTAAACCAGGACTAAACCAGGTCTAAACCAGGACTAAAACCAGGTCTAAACCAGGTCCAAACCAGGACTAAACCAGAACTAAACCAGGTGTAAAACAGGACTAAACCAGGTGTAAAACAGGACTAAACCAGGATTTAACAGGACTAAACCATACTGTGTGACCATGTCTCCTCCTCTTCTATCAATAATATTTTTAATTTGGTTAACTAAAGTCTGGGCTTTTTATTTTCTTTTAGCAGACAAAACATCTTATGTTACAATATTCTAGCCTTTGCTGCTCTACCACAAACCAAGTAATCCAAAGTATTCAGATTACGTTACTCACTTTAAGTAATTTAATGAATTACGTTACAAACTACATTCTGGGGCATGTAATCTGTAATCTGTAGGGGAATACATTTTAAAAGTCACCTTCCCAACACTGATAATGGTGCATAATAAACTATTGTATTTCTAATTTTCATTTTCACTTACAATTAAACCTTAGTCATCAGTTCTGCACTCACTGAAATAACAATTCTATTTGCTTTTCTTCTTCCCTTAAACGTCCCTGCTGGAAGTTATGTAATCCTATAATAAACTATTGCATTTTTAGATTTCACTTTCATTCGCAGTTCGCTTTAGTCATCCCTTACAGTAAGACTTCTACAGTAACCTTCAGTGCCAGAAGTTGTCCGGTCATTGTTGTGTCTGGATCCCTTCACCCGTTATTTCCGCAGCTTGACCTCGGGAGCGTTTTCGTGATTGTGTGGAGGTCGTAACATTTGATGAGATTTGTATGGAGCGTGTTTTTCTGTGTGTGTTTTTTTTTTCCCCCCCAGATGCTTCACTCACCCCTCACGAACACGGTGACCTGGTCCTTGCCGAGGCCGATGCGATTCTTCACCTCGCAAACAAAAGTGGTGTTCACGGCGTCGTCCACTTTAAGAACCTTCAGCTGATTGTCCTGGACCTGCACGGTGTCCGGCATCTCTCCAGACATCCTGACACAAAGAGATTAGAACAAAGGAACGGGTGAGGGTTGGGGGTTTTCGAAGTTGGTGAGACAAATGTGGTTCAGAAAGTTCAGAAAGATAGAAGATTTGGATTTCTTTTTGGAAGTTGTGATGGTAACAGTTCAATAATAAAAGAAAAAATGTGAACGCGCCACTATTTCCCAGTGCGTGTGTCATTCGTTCATTCGTTTTTCAAATTAAAACCAAAAATAAGAAAATGAAAAAACAACTATTTTCTTCATTATTTGTTTTCAAAATCAAAATCAAAATGAAAAAAAAAAAAAAAAAAAAAAAAACAGATAATGATTAGTTTTTTAGTTTTTGATTTTGTGTTTAAATGAAGAATGAAAAAAAAAGGATAACGGCCGTTTCCCGTTTCCGTGACTTAAACTGTGATGCCGGACTGAACCAGGACTGAACCAGGACTGAACCAGGACTGAACCAGGACTGAACCAGGACTGAACCAGGACTGAACCAGGTCTAGAACCAGACAGGAACCAGACAGGGACTGAGGCCAGGACTTAGACCAGGATCAGACCAGGACTGAGGCTGAGACCAAACCGGGACTTGAGACCGGGACTTGAGACCGGGACTTGAGACCGGGACTTGAGACCGGGACTTGAGACCGGACTTGAGACCGGGACTTGAGACCGGGACTTGAGACCGGGACTTGAGACCGGGACTTGAGACCGGGACTTGAGACTCAGACCGGGACTTGAGACCGGGACTTGAGACTCAGACCAGGACTTGAGACTAGACGAGACTCAGGACTCAGACCAGGACTCAGACCAGGACTCAGACCAGGACTCAGACCAGGACTCAGACCAGGACTCAGACCAGGACTCAGACCAGGACTGAAACTATGACCAGACCGGGACTCAGACCGGGACTCAGACCGGGACTCAGACCGGGACTCAGACCGGGACTCAGACCGGGACTCAGACCGGGACTCAGACCAGGGACTCAGACCGGGACTCAGACCGGGACTCAGACCGGGACTCAGACCGGGACTCAGACCGGGACTCAGACCGGGACTCAGACCGGGACTCAGACCAGAATTGAAACTATAACCGGACCGGGACTGAGAGACCGGAGACTGAGACTGGGACCAGACCAGGAACCAGATGATTTAGTCCTGGTTTAGTCTTGTTTTAGTCCTGATTCAGTCCTGGTTCAATCCGTATGCAGTGCAAAAGTTCAGTTTTTTCCATTATTCATTTAAACACAAAATCAAAAACTGAAAAAACAAATCATTATCTGTTTTTTTTTTTTTTTTTTCATTTTGGTTTTGGAGACAAATAATGAAGAAAATAGTTGCTTTTTTCATTTTCTTATTTTTGGTTTTATATTGAAAAACAAACGAATGATACACAGATTCTTCCCAACTTACATATCTATATTTTTAAACAAATTCAAGTGATTGTTTCTCTCGGACTTCCGCTGTGTCCGGCAGCTCTCCTCACATCCTGACACGGAAATATGAAAAGAGGAATGGGTGACAATTGGGGTTTTCAAAGCTGGCAAGACAAATCCGGTTAGTTCCCTTTTTTTTTTTTTTTTGTTTACTCAAATAACTTTTCTATAGGCAGCTTTTTGTGGACTTTGGACAGTTTCAGTTGTTATTTTTGGAGGTAATATCCCATTTTCAATTCAAGTTTTCCTCTATAGCACATTTAAAACAACTTGAGCCGATTGTCTGGGACCTCCGCTGTGTCCGACATCTCTCCCCACATCCTGACACAGAAATATGAAAAGATATTGGTGAAAATTGGGGTTTTCAAAGTTGGCAAGACAAATCTGGCTTTTTAGGTTATTTTTAAGCGTTGGTTCAAATATTCTTTCTTCGCTGGACAACATTTTGGACGGTTCGAAAAAGATAAAGGCTAATATTTTCATTTCCGCAATTTAACCTGAACTTGAAGAAGCTGCTTGGATGAGCTGTGAAGTGTCTTCCTCTCTTCAAAGTGTCACTCAAAAAACCTTTGTCCACAATTTTTATTTTGCCATCAATTCTACCTGAGACGACGGAGGGATTACACAGACATGTATTATCAAGAGTTTACTCCAATTACTTTTCTGTTTGGAACAAATTCTGTGAACTTTGGGCAGCTCAAAGAGATAAAGGTTAATATTTTCATTTCAGTTGTTATTTGTAATGTTGTAAAGTTTACCAATTTAAATGATCAAATGTCTTTTGTGGAGAACATTTTGGACAGTTTTCGGTAAAGTGTTCAATGTTTATTAACATATATGGCACATTTAAAACCATTTCAACAGATTGTTTGGGACCTTCACTGTGTCCAACATCTTTCCTGACATCCTGACACAAAAATATGAAAAGATATTGGTGAAATTTTAAAGAGTTTTGATTTCCTCAACTTGACCTGAACTTGAAGGAGCTGCTTGGATGAACTGTGAAGTGTCTTCATACAAAAACCCTTTGTCCAGTTGATAGAATATAATTTTTCTTTTGCTATGGATCCTACCTGGACAACACAGACATGTATTATGAACAGTTTACTCCAGTTACTTTCCTGTTTGGAACAAATTCTGTGAACTTTGGACAGTTCAAAAAGATAAAGGTTAATATTTTGATTTCAGTAGTTATTTGTAATGTTGTAAAGTTTAGCAATTTTTTTGTTCAAATTACTTTTCTGGACAACATTTTGGACAGTTTTCAGTAAAATGTTCAATTATTATTAACTTATATAGCACATTTAAAACCATTTCAACTGATTGTTTGGGACCTTCACTGTGTCCGACATCTCTCCAAACATCCTGACACAGAAATACTCTTTTAACTCTTTCCCCCATGAAGACGACATTTGACGACCCCCCCCGTTCCCTTAATGACGACTTTTGACACCTCCGCTGTTTCACTAAAGACGTGATTTGACCTTTAGAAATGGCTTGGTTTTTCACATTTAAACAGAGACTGTGATAGGTGGAGGCCACTACAACCCACACTAGACTGACCAATAGGATTCAAGGATATGTTTTCGCCGATTTTTTCCGAAGTTAATCGAAATAGTGACGATTGTAGCTTCCGGAAAAAAACACAACACGAAACACGTGCAATGGAAAGATCGCGATGCTGCGGCGCACAGTTTTAGAAATAATGAGGAGCGGACGTATTTTATGGATAAGTTTAGAGAAAGTGACTTTTATAGATTTCAAAGTGATGATGAGGGTGATTATAAAGTGGAAAACAGCGACAGCAACGGACTTACAGAGAGTGAATCTTACGCAGATGAGAATGCCGCTGATGCGTCTGTGTGGAGTCCTGCGATATCCCAACAAACTATCCGGGCTTTATACTCGATTATGAACCAAAATTGCCCTGAAATCACTCGTGGAAGTCTGTTTTCTTTTATGCAGTTATGCTCTATGGGTGTAGCCCTAGTAACATATGTATGGGTTGTTCCTAGTAGCGTCCAGGGGGAAAGAGTTAAAGGGTTTGTTCAAATGTTTTTCTTCTTGGCTTGGACAGTTCAAAAAAGATAAAGGTTAATATTTTGATTTCCTGAATTTGACCTGAACTGAATAAGCTGCTTGGATGAACTGTGAAGTGTCTTTATTCAAAAAACTTTGTCCATTTTTTTTAAATTTATTTTGCTATAGAACCTACCTGGACGCCTGAGGGATTACACAGACATATTCTGAAGAGTTTACTCCAATTACTTTTCTGTTTGGAACCAAATTTTGTGAACTTCAGACAGTTCAAAAAGATAAAGGCTAATATTTCAGTAAAATGTTCAGTTATTGTTTACTTATATAGCACATTTAAAACCATTTCAACTGATTGTTTGGGACTGATTGTTTCCTGACATCCTGACACTGAAATATGAAAAGATATTTCGTGAAAATTGTGGTTTTCAAAGTTGGCAAGACAAATCCGACATTTAGGTTAGCTCAGTTCTATTTTAAAGAGTTTGTTCAAATGTTTTTTTTTTCGTTGCTTGGACAGTTCAAAAAAGATAAAGGCTAATATTTTGATTTTCGCAATTTGACCTGAACTTGAAGGAGCTTTTTGGACGAACTGTGAAGTGGCGTCATTCAAAAAACCTTTGTCAAAGTCCGAATAGAAATTTTCTTTTGCTATGGACCGACCTGGATGACGGAGGGATTACACAGACATGTATTCTGAAGAGTTTACTCCAATTACTTTTCTGTTTGGAAGAAATTCTGTGAACTTTGGGCAGCTCAAAAAGATAAAGGTTAATATTTTGATTTCAGTAGTTATTTGTAATGTTGTAAAGTTTACCAATTCTTTGTTCAAATGTCTTTTCTGGACAACATTTGGACAGTTTTAAGTAAAATGTTCAATTACTGTTTACTCATACACAGAGGTGGGGACTTGGACTTGAGTCAGACTTGAGTCACTATTCTTAGGACTTGAGATTTGACTTGATAAAACAGACAAAGAATTGGGACTCGACTTGGACTTGAAGGTCAGTGACTTGGGACTTGACTTGGACTTGAGCCTTGTGACTTGAGAAGACTTGATGCTTAGACTAGTTGACAAAATAACTGTTTTTAAGCACTTTTAAATCTTAACTCTTTCTGTTCTGACCGTAATAATTCACATTCTTTCCAAAACATTTAAAAAGGAAAAATTCACATTCACATTTCTACAACTTTTAAACAAATACTTATAAATACCATGATTTTTAAGAACAATTTAGTTTAAAAATGCTATAAATTGCAAAAATCTAAGTTGTATTTGTTGTTTAAAGGCTTGAAATGACTTAAAGCTCAAAGCAGACGACTTGGACTCGACTTGGACTTATGGGCCAGTGACTCAAGACTCGACTTGGACTTGCCTGTATTTGACTTGGGACTGGACTCGGACTTGAGGTCAAAGACTTGAGACTTACTTGAGACTCGCAAAACAAAGACTTGGTCCTACCTCTGCTTATATCGCACATTTAAAACAATTTCAAGTGATTGTCTGGGACCTTCACTGTGTCCGACATCTTTCCCGACAT